AAAAAGAGGCAAGGAAATTAAAGGGTACTTAAACACATGCATAATTATGATGAAACAAGAAATGTACCAAAGAGATCAGCCTCGATGCATCTCCAGAAAACGTTACTTATGTCGTCGACTGTCCAATCATCACCTGCCATACTTTTGTACTCATCATAGAGATAAGCGACCATATCATGTTTTCCATATATAGCAGCCACATAGATTGGCAGCGCGTTGACACCATTACGGATTTTCAGCAGTTGCGGATGCTTTCCAACCATAGCCATTGCCATATCGACGTTTCCAACTCCAGCTGCGATATGAAGGGCGGTTTGGCCATGTTTATCTTGAAGTGTGAGTTGCTGATCTGTCATCCGGTCGACTAGATTTTCCACGAACTTGATGCTTTCGGAAGATGCAGCAATGGTAAGTGCTGTATCCTTATCTTCTGTGATACTATACCCTAGTAAGTCATCTTTGAATTCACGATTAATGGCTAGGATATTTTCCACTGCTTCCCAGTCTCCTACGACTGACGCTTGATAGAGAGGAAGACAAATATTGATGAAGTCTCTTCTTCTTCCTTCTAAGTAATTCCAAAAACTAAATTAATTATGCCAAACTCATGTATATATCATCACCGGATAAATGAGGTGCTGAATTAGTACAATTAATTAAACAGAGTAATTTTTTACTAGAAGAAATTTAGTCAAATATAATACTAGCTACAACTTACCAACAAGTAGATCTCCACAAGGATGATTGTAAGATGGTGTGGATTGTTCGGAACTATCTAGTTGACTACTTGTATCAGACATTTCATGTAGTGGTGGATTACTTGTCTCAAACATTTCCTGTAGTGGTTGATTACTCGTATCAGACATTTTCTGTAGTGGTTGATTACTCGTATCAGACATTCCCTGTAGTGGTTGATTACTCGTANCTGTAGTGGTTGATTACTCGTATCAGACATTCCCTGTAGTGGTTGATTACTCGTATAAGACATTTCCTGTAGTGGTTGATTACTCATCTCAGACATTTCTGGTGCTGGATTAAGAAATTCGGCTGATCACCAATTGACCCCAAATATGTGATTTTCAGGATCTTTGTCTTTCGTTGCTTATCAATTACCTGCCTGCACAATCATAACTAAAATCGTAAACTAAAGCCACCACCTGCACCACATAATTCATTCACGTGTGAACCACAAGGAGTGTGGCGTAGTGGTTGAGGTTCAGGCGAATGTGGTGGAATATCCCATCTGTCGGTTGGCATCCACAACAATTGTGGCACCTTAGTTTATCGGGGCTAATTTCTTGCGGTCAAAATTTGTCGGAACACCCTTTCAAATAAAATAAATAATAGTAATTCATGTGTGTATACTGAATGTGTGACTTATTGCTATTAACTACTGATTCAACCCAACAACAGCCTTTATTGCTTCTTCTCCTGAATCAAAATGACTTATAAGACTCTCATTTCATATAACATGAGATCAAAATTTCTTAACACTGATGTTAGACTGATTTATGAATGCTTTAACTCGAATTTATCATCACATTCATACATGCTCTTCCAAACTCTGAACTCAAACAGAAATATTCCAGCACTGAACATGCTATTAATAAACTCTTAATTTTCTCATAAATCAAGGAGGTTTTAGAATCCAATATCTAAACAGAACTCTTAGATCAGGCCTCTTCTGATTCCATAGAATCTAGAACTGCTTCGATCGGAGTTATACTTGATTTTATACCAATACTGTCTCATGTCCGACCACTTCCAAAATTCACCAATTTTGCCAACTTAATTATATCCAAATTAAAAAGAAGATATATATACCTTGGTATGACGTCGTTGTCTGAAAGCTCATTGCATCCTTCGTTCCATTTCCTCCTTCATGGAGCAAATTAATGTTGATGTTATCCACGAGCCTCCAGGGTTTTCCTCCTCCACACAGTAATGTGGATATCTTCCAAGTCAACGTCTAAGTCAATTCTCGTACTTTCTCTTATTCACAATTTAAACCCTCGACCTATATTTTCTTTACTTGCCAAGCTCGGCCCCTACTATTCACATGTTTCCGATTAATATGAATGTTTATTTATTATTAATAAGTATAATTTTTTAATTTATAATAAATATTTATTAGCATCAGTTATAAATTATTAATTAATTTTAATTCTAAAAATATCCATTAATATTAATTAT